GTGATATACTATACAAAATAAATTAAACTATATTTAAATAGGTATATCATATATGATATATCATATACATATATATTTATCCAAATCCAACTCATATCAGGACACAAAAATGTATATTTCATTTAATGTGCATATGTATATATTTATAGCATTAAAATCATTTCGATGATATTTCTATAATATCCGAAATACATCATGAAATCGATGTATGCAAACACCAATCAAATATCAATAAAATTTAAATGGAATATGGAATTTATTCGATGACCCATTATCCATTCATAATGCTCGCTCTGCTGCTCTTGGCCGAATCATAACCGTGGACATCGGCTCGGGCTCGACTTGACCAGGTGAATCACTGTCTTGGCGGCATGCATAAAATCATATATCAGCTAAGAGTAGTATTTTTTTGCGTTTTTTGTTTTGTTTTTGTTTTTGCTTTGCTTTGTTTCGGTTCTCTTTTGCTTCGTATCGAATTTTTGCGGAAGTTATTGCCAAATGATCAAAACAAAATTTGCATTTACTTCCCCAGCGCAAAGCGTTCGAACTGGTTGAGGCAAGCCATGAAGGGAGGGAGGAGGGGGGGGGCGTCGAAGTAGAAGGCGCGATCGCTTTAGCTTCTCTAATTAGTAGCGTAGCTTCAAAGCACAAAAGAACAAAAAAAAAAAACAAAAAACTCATAAAATGTAGCGCGAAATGGGTCAAAAGTAAGCATGGACAGAGGCAGAGAAATTGAGGGGGGCTGGCCGAGGGGGGGAGGGCTGGAGTGTAGAGCGAAGAGTGAGGAGACAGAGGATTGGGGCTCGCTATCAACGGCAAGATAAGCAAGCGCTTGTGTTGCAATCTGTTGCAAGCTAGAAGTTCAAGTAGAAGCAGAGAGAACGAGAGCGAGAGCGAGAGAGAGAGAGAGAGAGAGTGGGTAAGAGAGAGTGAGAGCTGTCTAATGTGTAGATGCATGAACTGCGGCAGTTGGGGGGATCGCAAGTGGAAGGCAACAGCTGAACTTTCGATCGCGTTGAAAATTCTAGCGCACGCTCTCTCGCTCGCACACGCAGCGCTTTGGTTTTTGCTCTCGCTCTGGCTCAATTAGTGAACGCGGTGCGTTGGCCCATGGCTCTCTCTGCAAGTGTGCGTGTGCGTATGTGTGTGTGTGTGTGTGCTTGTATCTATCTAATGTCGTATCTACACGCATGCCACGATCAGCGACGGTGACGGCGACGGCAGCGGAGCCGCAGCTGGCAGCAGCGCCGTCGACAGCGACGTCGCAATGTCGTGTTTGTGTGTGTATTTTTAAAATTTGACCTATTTTCATTATCAAGCGCAAGATTATTCTAAACAATAAATGCCCATGCGTAGCTGTCTGCGTGTCGCTCTGTCTGTGTGTGCGGCGCGTGGTAGGAACAGCAGCAGCCACTAAAAACACCCACACACACACACACACACACACATATGTACAGAGTGCTGCTGCACACGCACCTGTGCGAGGAGAATGAGAATATAATGAGAATCGACTTGAAAGCACTCAATAAGCAAAGCGTTTCGAGAATTTCAGCTGCAATTGCAGACGATCGCTGGGATCCCATTTCCAACTCGAGGCGATTCGATAAACCAAGTGCAACGATGACCGAACAAATGTTCAATGGATTTTTAGGGTAGCATAAAAACACCTAAGAAAATTAGGAAAACTTTTTGAATTCGAATGCATGGCATACATATCTCAAAGATATCGTTGGATATTGTTGTGTTTAGCTAATTAAACTAACGAAAAGCTTATCGGCCTTTACATATTTTTATCGAAACCTCATTTCAGTTTCGATTACGATTACCTATAATGCAGCTAAAACTCATAAATATATTGAAGAGTAACAATGTCTACATATATAGAAAGATATATAGATATATGTATATATTTATGCAGCTTTGAAAACTTCACTAAATTATCGATCACTTCTGATCCAACATTTATCAATCGATATTAAGTTTAGTATAACGAAAAACGCCATATAATTATTATACATATAATACATTATATATAATATTCTTTATGTATGTTTTATCAAAACAAAAAACTACATTTATCGATCAATTATGAGAATGATAAAACCTATTCAACAATATTCAATCTTCTTATCTAAGCAGCAATTAACCGTTTTATTAACAGCTGAACGATTATTAAGAAACTCTCTATGGGTTGATTTTAAGCTGAAGTAGCCTATCGACTATCGATTAATATTAATAGGAAAGTCTACATTTTTAATAGAGATATAAATATGCGTATGTGTATGTTCAATGTATGTCAATGAAATGTGCTCTCAGCCATGGGTACCTCCATAGCATGTTTTCAGAGTCATAGGATTACATATACTTATCGATATTTTTATCGAAAGCCCTTAAAGTGAATAAGTAAATATATATATTAACAATAAATGTATATATATATCTAGTTAATGAGTAAAAAGTCCCCCCCACTTGATCGATTAATTAATCGATAACAAGCATGCAAAATGAAAATTGAATGTTGTCATAAAATTTCAGTGGCAACAAATCGATTTTTAGACTGCTATGAGTATTGGTTATCCATCAAATAAAATCTGGAATTTGCCTTAAAAAATAATAATATAATTCTTTACAGTGTATGAAAAATTTCGCTGTAAATTATCGCATAAAATACTAGGGAAAATATGTGCAACCAGAGGGAATATTATATACACAATGAGAGGGACTGTTGTTGTTGTTGTTGTTAAAGTTAATGGTGCTGTTGTTGTTGTTGCAGTTACTGTTGCAGTTTCTGTTGTTAGTGAGGTTAGGAATGATTGTGGTTAATTGGATAAAATTGAGAGTGTTGCAATATCTATATATTAGTGGTATTAGTAGAGGTTTACTTCGTATTTAAATGCTTAGGTAGGGTAGTTTGGACAGTTTCTTGCACTGGGAGCAAATTTACCTATGGATGTCATAATTTTGTTGTTGCCGATTCGATTCTTGAATTTGGAACGTAAAAGAATACGTAAAAATTTTGAATGCCGATTGTGTTGAAATTGTTTTTGTTTTTGTTTCTGTTTTTGTTTTTGTTTTTGTTTATGTTTTGGTTTTGGTTGATTTCTTAAAATTGTTGCAGCTCTTGTTGCTGATGAGCCTTTTGTTGTTGTTGTTGTTGTTGCTGTTTTGGCTGTTGTTGTTTTTGTTCTTTTTGTTGTATTTGTACTCGAGGTAAGCATTTAGTTGCTGTCAGTTTGGCGTGCCACACTTGCCACATGGCGGCAGAGCCTGTGGCATCACAAACGGGAAAAAAAAAACAAACAAACAAGTTACAGGGTATTTAACGTTCATCAACACAATCGTCAGGCTGAGCATGATTCTCGTACTGATGAACGAGGGGGAGAGAGATAGAGGGGAAAGAGGGATTTGCCAATTCGAGTTTGTAACAATTTGGTTTGCATTATTTTTTTTTTTTTAGTATTAAGTTGGTAATTTTGCGGTATTTTTGCGGTATTTTCTGTTATTATTGTCACAGTTTCCAAAATTTGGGTTGTTTTTAGTTTTTAGGATCATTTTTGTTGTTGTAATTTATTGGGGAACGTTTACGCATTGTGTTTTATATATATATATGTGTGTGTGTGTGTGTGTGTGTATGTTCGGGGGCGGGGGGCAAGGGGGGGTGAGTGCAGTGGCTCTTGGGGTAATAGCTGATAATACAGGGTATTGATTATGATAGTAACGAGATAATGTTTAGTGAAAACAGAACGTATTCAAAAAAATACTAACGGCAAATGGGCGGCATACGAGATTTTTTCTTATAGTAATTATTATAGTTGTTGTAATGGATGTTGTTGTTGTTGTTATTATTGCTGTTGTTGTTGTGAGAGTTGCACTTGTTACACTTTTGACTGCAAGCATTCTGTGCTGCTGCTGCTGTTGCTGCTGCTGATGGCAGTGTTGCTGCCGTGCAGGATAATGTTGTTGCTGCTGCTGCTGGTGTTGCTACTGATACTGTTGCTGTTGCTGGTGTTTTTATGAGATAGTCAAGCGATTGCTGATGCTGATGCTGATGCTGCTGCTGCTGCTCCTGTTTCTGCTCATCGGCAGCCACATGCTCGGGCGTTGTTGCTGTTGCTGCTGYGGCTGCAACATCGTCGTCGTCGTCGCCACTGGCGCCAGCAGCAGCAATAGCAGTAGCAACATCGGTAATGTTATCATTATCGTTATCGCCTTTGCCATCGCCGTCATGATGATGATAATGATGATGGTAATGATGATGGTGATGATGATGATTATCATTCATAAATTGTTCTTGTTCATTGTTATTTCCGCTTTGAAAACCGGAATCGCAGCCAAAACCCAAAGTATTGTCGTTGTTGCTGCTGCTGCCGTCGCTGTTGGTGCTGCTGCCGATGCCAGCATTATTGTTGTTGCTGCTGCGCAAGTTGTTGTTGTTGTTGCTGCTGCTGCTACTGGTGTTGTTGAATGCAACATGCGGCAGATTGCCATTGCTATTACTACTGTTGTTGTTGTTGTTGCTGTTGCTGCTGCACTTCTTGAGCAACGTCTTGTTAAGCGGCGTTTTGATAATGGTCAACTTGCTGCTGCTGCTGTTGCTGCTATCAGCCTCTAAGCCGGCGTCCTTGTCAGCAACATCGTCGTCATCGATGCTGTTGCTGTTGCTGTTGCTGCTATTGTTGTTGTTGCTGCCGTGACCATTGATGGTTCTTATCTGCTGCTCCTCGAGCGTATGCTGGCCATTCTGCTTGGCCTCGCCAGCTTTGCTGGCTATTGCTGTGGGTGTTGCTGTTGCTGATGCTGTTGCCTCGGCAACGACAGCAGCAGCAACATTGACCGCAGCCACCGCTGGCTCCAGGCTCAGCGGCTGATTGGCATTCATTTGGATGGATCCTGCTGCTGCTCCTGCTGCTCGTCCTGCTCGATGTGGCGGCGCTTAGGTGGGCAGACACAGCTGATGACGGATGGCAACACTGGCAACTGTTGCCATGCTGGCAACGGCAACCGCTGGCAAGCAGCGCCAACTAGGACGCATGCTTGCACAACAATCCGGGCATGAGTTCTATCCACAACTTGTAGTCAATCAATGCGTATGTATATGCTGCACACACACATCTACACACACACGCACGCACACACACGCGAGTGTTTCACTTTTTAACAGCTAATGAGCGAAATGGAGAGAAATGTGAGCAATAAAAAAAAATAGTTGAATAAGAATGTGTAAGCCACACACGCACACGCACACACACACACACTGAGAGTGAGGAATATCCTGATGGTGAATGAGCGAGTGACGAGTAGCGAGTGACGAGAGACGAGTGACTGATTGTATGTGTGTGTGTGTGTGCTTAGAAGAGGGGGTCTTAGTTGAACAACACTGGTAACAACATGTTTACAACAAACAGTAAAAAAAATTGTCAGATATTACTGTATGCATATGTACATATATCTATATATGTATGTATGCATATATATTTATTTAGTTTATGATCACTTTAAGCCGTTGACCGTTAGATAGTTGTTTGATTTGTTGTTCTTACTTGCTAGTAACAACAACTAACACACTAACACACAGACACACACACACACACACACAGTCTCAAACACAGCGTGAGATATTGGAGAACAGCGCGAGTATGCATTTTATCATTGATCTATGTATGTGTATGTGCATATTTATTTATCATAGGTAGTATATCCAATTTTTGTATATTCTGAGTGATATATATGTATGTGTATATATTTATATGTTATGTATATTACAGGCAGACCACATCAAATAAGGCGCGAGCGAGTTGAAATCCCGTGATGACCGTTAACACTAACTGTTTTCGCACGCCGTATGTAACGAATGGCAGTTAACCGGGTACTCGTTAGTACGCGCACAACAACCAAAAAATGACAACACAAATATTACAAAAATAATACGGCAAAAAACAGAAAAAAAAATACAATAAATAAAACAACAGAAAAAAAATACGAAAAAAATTATATAGTGTCTCTTCCGTATGACAACACACAACAAACAGAGAAACAGCGGCCAAGAGTCGCTTTCGCGCCGTGTGTTGTTGTTGTTGTCGTTGTTATTGTCGGCTGGTTGTTGTTTTGTTTGATGCTGCTCCGCGGCCAACGTGCGTACATTCGAACGAAATAAAGTGAAATGAAAGGAGTAAGCGAGCGAAAGAAAGCAAGCAGCAGCCACAAACCGTCTCAGCCCAGTCAGCCAGCGACGTCTGCGCTGGCTGCGCTGCCAACGTAGATGGTTGCAGGCGCGCGCGCCTCGAAAACTAGCGCGCTACAACAACAGCAATAACATATTCAAAGCTGCGCTGTCGTCGTTGTCGCAGCCGCAGCCGCAGTCGCGGCCGAAAGCCAAAACGATCACAGCACGCCATTAGATGGGAAGCGTCGTGGCTGCTGCCGCTACCGCTGCCGCAGTCACTGTCGCAGTCGCGGCTGCCGTCGCAGCAGTCACAATAGACGTCGACTGCAAATGAAAATGAAAACCAATAGACAAAAAGTAAAAAAGCACACACCAGTACATATAAGCGTATGCATGGCGCAGTCATAGACATAGACATAGACACAGACACAGACAAAGCCATAGACCCAGGCGACGTCGACGTCATAGTTATGCTATGCGCGACCGCTCGGCAACACGTTCGGCCAGCGCTCGTTCGGCTGCAATAAGCGCTAGATAGATAAACGGAGAGAATATGAGAGTGAGAGAGAATGCGAGTGGGCGCACACCAGAAGCTTATGCGAGCTACTCTAGTCAGCTTGCATACACTGTGCCCCGCACTAGTGCTGCCTTCCCTACAGGAATAGCTCCGTTGCGTCTGGCGACAGTTTCAGTTGACGTCGCTGCTGCTGCTGCTGCCGCTGCCGCCTAGGCGCATGAAAATAGAAAATAGAAGCATGAAMAAAAAAAAAAAAAAAACTGCTGAGCTTTGTGGGGCGCTCCCCCATCCAATGCTACAGTTTATGCATATGTGTACTGCATTAAAATTCAAATTTGAAGTTGTGTTGCATGAGTGTGTCTGTATGTGTGTGCGTGTGTGTGTGTGTGTGTGTGGACGTTGACCGGCTTGCTGCCTGCCAGTGGGTCGTATTCATTGCAGTTAATAGCAGGCAGTAAAAGCTTTCCTACACCGACTACAACTTCGTCTTCGTTTCCAACTTCGTCTCTGGCGCTGCTCGGCACACAGTAGTCGGGAGTCGGGACAATACATTCGTGTCGTCACTTACGTCAACAGGCTAGAAAGAGAGCGGCTGCGGAAGATAGCAAGGCGCTTATGCAAAGGTTCAATGAAATGAAACATAAAACTGTGCCACCAGTGTGTTCGAGTGCAGCGACGCTGGCGTCGCTGCAACTGCGGCGCCTGCTTCTATTGCTGTTGTTGTTGGTGCTGCTGCCACTGCATAAAAGAGCTTTGAGCATTAATACAACATAGCTATTAGATGTACGAAGGAGAAAGAGGGAATGAAGAAGGAGAGAGAGAGTGTGAGTGGGAGGGTGATTGTACCAAATGCTTCCTGACTCGCTAACAGCGAGTGAAGAGATATGTACATATGTATGTATGTATGTACGGCAATTGGGATTCGATTGCTGATCAGTGGGTGACACTCACACATACACAGATTGACTTAAGCTAAAGTATGCATTACACAGGCGCACTGTGTGACAGTGAGTAAAAGGTAAAAGTGAATTTGAAAAAGAGCAGAAAATCATCAACGATTGCGCAACGGCGACGACGGCTGCGCAAGTGGAGCGCAACGGCAACGGCAACGGCGACGGGCRGCATTAAGAAGCAGCAATGTCATGAATTGCAAAATGTGGATAGACGGACAACAGTGGACAGGGTACGATGGGTGTAGCTCGACAAATAATACAATAGAAAACAAAAATAAATAAATAAATATCGGGTTGAGTGTTGTCTTGTACGGCATTTGCCATTTAATATGTCGCTAACATTTCTTTATACCCCCGCATGGACAGCCCACAGGCACGCCCCCTTTGCAGCCCTACAGACGCAAGCGTCAATGATGCCTTCGTACTGGCACGTTCGTTCGTTGACCATTGTCTCGGGCACTTTCGATTTCAAATACATTGCACGCTGTTAGCAGCAGCGGCGGCAACAACAGCAACAATAACAATAGCAACAGTAACAGTAAGAGCAACAAATTCAATATGTAATTGTTTGGCGCACATTTCATTTCCTTATTGCTCACTGACATTTTGCTTTACAGACACACACACACACAGACAAATTCGCCAATACATACATGCAAAAACTGGCTTACGACTTTATAATGAGCAATAACTACAACAGCAGCATGAAAATGCGAGCAAAGCAAACGTGTCAAGTCTACTGCTGCAATTGCTCTCGTTACTTTTGTTGTTGCTGTTGGTTTTACTGTTGGTTTTTGTTTTTTGCATGTAGCTTGTAACGCAGGAAGCTTAACGCCGCCTAAACTTCACTTACTACGCGCTCACTTGCTCTACACACTCTCTCACACACACAGAGAGCACACATAGGGCGCTCTCTTGAGCCTCGCGCTCAGTGCCCGCCAGCTGACAGGCTGTTGTCTCTGCTCTGGTGCAAGTGAAAGTTTTTTGGGTTCTTTCCTTGTCCATGACACGGATCGGCGGCGGGCGTGCAAGTGAGACAGCGAGACAGTCAGCCAGCTAAGCACGCATGCCCGCTTGACTGAGCGAGATGGCACGCGGAAATATGCAACTGCGAAAGAGAGCGCAGAGAGCGAACATACGCGTGCGCGCATTTGTGAGCGAGCTTTAATGTAGTGATGTTGTTGTTGTTGTTACGTTTGATTTTTGTTTTTGTTTTTTTTTTTTTTTTTTAGTGTGGCGATCGCCGTTGGTACTCACCGGACCACAGCGCCGGGCCAGGCATAGTTGCACGCGTTTTGTCTCTGCTGCAGCGTCTACTCTAATTAATGTGGTTGTTGTTTTTTTGCTGATTTTATAATCCTTTTATACTTTTGTATAACTGTTTTGCAGTTGCACTTGCTCTGCAATAGTCTCCACTTATGAACACCCACTCTACACTTGAACAAAAATGATCGCCATTTGAAGTTCGATTTTGAATAATTTTTATGTATTTTGTTGCTTTGGCTGTTTTTTCTTTTTTGTATATTTTTGTGTTATTTATTTAATTTTTTTGGGTAATCGCGCGCGCGCTGACTACGTTCGAGCCATAAAGCGACTGAAGTCAGTGCGCTGCCGCCGCTTTCGTCTGCCGTCTGCAGTATGCAGTTAGCAGTCTGCGGTCTGTTCGTAAGAGGCTGCTACAGCTCTGAAGCACTTGAAGCCAAAACAAAGTCAACGGCAACGCCAACGACAACGACAACAGCAACGCCAACGACAACGCCAACGTTGGCGTCAGCAGCGCAGTCAGCAGCACAGCGAGCGTATGCGAAAATGACTTGATGTTGCAGTTGTTATTGTTGTTATTGTTTCTGGTGTTGTTGTTGTTGCTGCTGTGTTACAAGTGCTCGAAGTAGAAGTTGTTAAAACTATCAACTAATTATTATTATTATTTTTTATTATTTTACTTTTTTTTCTCTCTTCTTTTCTATTGTAACTATCGCACGCACTGTACGAATATTTTGGTTAAAGCGCTAGCCAATTGAACTGCTGCTGCTGCTGCACGGCGGTCTGGCGGATATAACGGAAATGTGCAACTGGCAGCCAACAACCAGCAGCAACGGGCAGCGAAATTGTCAAACGGCTTGCAGTGACGACAGCGAACCGAAACAGAAACAGAAGCCGAAAAGCATGCGAGAGCAGAACCCGAGCAGCGAACAGCGAACAGCGACGAAAACGCGCGTGGGGTTTTCCTTAGGCCCCCAAAAGCTGCTGCTACCGCTGCAACGGTTGCTGTTGATATTGCTGCCACCTCTGCTTCTGCTTCTACTGCTGCTGCTGCTGCTGCTGCTGCAGTTGCAGTTTTGCTAACTGCCATTTGCCATTTGCTCTTGTCCGTTGGCTTCTAACGGCTTCGTCAAGTGCATGCGCTCTCTCACGCTCAGCGCGCTGCCGCTCTCCCTCTCCCTCTCTCTGCCGCTGTCTGTGTCTGCTTAGCTTTTGGCTCTCTCGCGCTGCACTGCTTGCATCATAGACACTGCTCTGGATACGTCTCGCGCCGCCCGCGCCGCCTAAAGCTCCCACTGAACCGACACTTGTCAGCTTTTGCAGCGCTCTGTTGCTTAATCAAAAGTTTCTGCCATCCCTGCCCCTCTCCAGCTCATTCTCTCGCACTCTCTCACCCTCTCTCTGTTGCTCTATGATTATGTGTGTGTCTGTGTGTGTGTTCTGCACTAGGCTCGAGTCAACCAACTTTGGAAGGTCATGTGGACTTAGTGCAGCCAAAATATCCTTGGATCATATTGGAAATGCATGCACACACACACACACACACGCAAATGTGAGTATGTGTGTTTGTGTGTGTGTGTATGCTTCTCGGGTTGTCCAAATGTCGCCTGGCAGCCGAGCCAATTGAGTCAGCTTTTTATAGAAGTTGTCGTTGTTGTTGCAGTTGTTGTTAATGCATTTTGTTGTTTGGCACCTAGTTGTTGTCATAGATACACATATACATATACACACACACTTACACACACACATATACAGTCATATCTAAAGTCAAAGCATTTTCCGCAGTTTTCAAATTTCGTTTTGTCATTCTTTCATTCCGATTATTTTAGAATTTATATGTATATAGAAGGATATGTTTTAGATTCAAATTTTTCTTTTTTGATACTTTCTCGATTCTGCAGAATATATCCTTAAACTTTTCGTAGTATAAAGACAAAAAACTCTGAATCCAAAATATTAGGAATTACACAAATTCATATTTCATTTAATGTGAATAACTAAACAACATTACATTTAAAATTTAAACATATACAGTAGAATTCCGATAATTCGAAATCGCAAGCGAATCTGTTTTTTTTTTTTTTTTCGAGTTATACAGAAATTCAAATTATCGAGAATTATTGAGAACGAATTACCTTCAAGGGGATAGAACTTTTTCGATTTTTTAGCGATTTTCGATTTAGCGGGATACAAATTATCGGGACTCGACTGTACATATATAATCAATAAACTGATCCCGACCAGTGGATATGCCAAACATATATCATATATAACCGCAAGTCTCAAATTATATAACATTTTGTTAACAGTTCTGTTAAATACAAAGAAACAGTGGGAGGGAGAGAGAGGGAGTGCTCTTTAATAATTCAATAGAAGTATCATCTATAATAACTCCTAAACTCTATTATGTTCATACCCAACATTTCATGTCATAAATAACTTTTAGTTCAAATTATGTAACGTTTTGTTAACAGCTCTGTTAAATAACAAGAAATAGAGCGAGAGCGAGACAGAGAGAGGGATCGCTCTTTAATAGTTAATAGATTTGATTTCCAATACTCTATGAGCACAGCGCGCACAAGTGTTGCAGTTGCACTCTAATTGCCAGTCATGAGGTTCAACAACTTTCACACAAAAATCCTTGAACGCCATTTGCATGAAAAAGCCCGCCCCGCACCCACAGCCGCCACACAGACAAAAACAACTGCAACTGCAATAGAAGGCAGAACAACAACTGCGACTACAACAACAACAGCGATTGCAAAAACAACAACAGCAACAACGAGATTACGTATACGCCACGTATTGCGACAGACGCCGACGGTCTAGTCCATCGAAGGGGGGGTTCGCGCACAGAGAGGGTGTGCGTATGTGTGTGTGTGTGTGTTTTTGTTGTCGACTCTTTGTAGAATATGGTAGAAAAACAACAACAGCAGCAGCAGCAGCAAGAGCGTTGTCTTAACGGTAATTCGTTGGCTGCCTTTGTTGTTGGCCAAAATGCGTTCGAAATCGCCTTTTGGGCTCTAAACGAATGTCAAGTGGAAAAGCAGCAAAGGCGATTGCCATAGGGGGAGGGCGGGAGTCGGCATGGCTAGATGCAGCAGCGAGAAGGTAAGCAAATCGAAAATGAAATTCGAGTTGTAGTTGAAAGACAGAGAGAGAGAGAGAGAGAGTGAGAGGGAGATAGAGAGAGAGAGAGAGAGAGAGAGAGAACCAAAGTGTTTTGCGAGTTTTGTGGTAAAGTGCAAAATGCTGACACTTGATGTTTGCTGTTGTTGTTGTTGTTGTTGCTGTTGTTGTTGCTGTTGTTGTTGTTGTGGACGTTGTGAGGCATTCGCGTAATATTTCTGGGTCATAGATATTTGTACACCTTTGACGAGCAGCAGATACATATAGGTATACATAGGTATGACACGTAAATATATACGTATATAGATACGTATATTGATACATGTATGTATGTATATACATATGTACATATCTTGCTATATTAGTTGTTTTTCTTCGCTTAAGCTTTACCTTAATTCTAAATGAAATCAATTTCAAGTTCGAAATTATTTAGCTGAGTGAATACTTTTCTGGATTTCTTGGATTTGACTGACCTTATAAAACGAAAGTCCAACGCTGCAAAAGAAATGCCTGCGTCATTCCCTCTAAGAACTGTAATGGAAATGTAAGAGAGATTTTATGATGATGAGTTATATGTGGTGTATATTTATATGGATAGTGATATAAATAGATATTATATAAGGTATATAGATATAAATATTGGAAAGAACATAAATAAACAAAAATGCGTGGCCTACATATGAATTCATGCTCCATTCTAACAAATTTTGCCTTTCTATGCAATTCTTATGAAGATGCAAGAGGACTCATTCACTCACTCTCTCTCTCGCTTTCTCATTCTGAAATAAGGCAGAACGAAATACTACGAAATGTGTAAACATTCATATAATAAAAATAAGAGTTGTTTGGATTTTGTTTGCCATAATACATAGGGAAGGGCATTAGGAACAAAATTCCTTTAGTTTCGATTTGACAATAAAGAAAGTTATTTATAATTTAAGAGCGATTCAACTACAAATTGAATGTAATTAGAAATAGAAGTTGAAAATAAACAAAAAAAGAAAACAAATAATAGTACATTTATAAATTAATAAAAA